GTCCTTCTATAAAAAGACTTTCTTAATATCTAATAAAAATTATCTGATATACTTATTATTAAGCAATTTATCATTATATTTTTGACAGTAAACAGAAAATAAGTCAATTTTTTAGTATTTGCATTACATCAATTTTCTATGAAATACTTATATGTGATATTTCAAAAGATTTTTTTATAAGAAATAATCAAAATCACTCAAACTTAATTTAGGTTAAATGCTCTTTTAAAAAGTAAGTAAAAAACTATTTTATAATACTGATACAATTACCAAGAGAAATATTTGACCTGTGTCTTGTAAGCCAAATTGTGTGCTAAAAACAAAGAAAAAACTGTTATAATAATGTCACACTCAAACATTATACTGCGTCCAGTTATTCCCACAGTCTAACATTCCTAAGCCTAAAATATAATAGTATAATTTCAAATACTGTAAAACAATTTTTCAAATATAAAGAACCCTGGATTAAAATTGTGTGTGCAATGGTCTTTTTGATAATACATTTGTTTTTCTATGCCATATACATTACATATACTCATGGAAATATATATGAATATGTATACAAATGCATTACATTGAATTATAAAATTAATAACAAAAATACCTTGGGGTGTAAAAAATGTCTACCAAAAAACTGTTGCCAAATGCAATATTAATGGATATACCGGGTGCTGTCGAGTCAATTCCAACTCATTGTGTCCCTACGGAACCGAGTAGAAGTGCCCCATAGGTCTTCCCAGGCTGAAATCTTTACAGAAGCAGACTGCCAGATCTTTCTACCGTGGAGTTGCTGGTGGGTTCGAACCACTGACCTTTCGGTTGGCAGCTCAGCACTTAACCACTGCACCACCAGGGGTCCTTCATTAAGGATACAGGATATAGATATTAGATAACTATTTTTAGGCATATGACTAAAGTTTATCCAGCTACCTCAACTTTTATTGTCATCTGTTTTATTTACAAGATAGTGAACTTTAAGGGGTTGGAGGAACTTTATCCATAAATTAAATAATTTGATAACTATCTAGTTACAACACTGATAATATTTAATCACTTTGAAAGTAAATTGATGAAATACTCCTGGCTTATGGTGTTGAAATCGGCCTCTTCCATGTTTCTAACTCCTCTTTCTTAACACGAACATGTATTCTTAACAATAACCATATCAAGCATTTTGCCACTCCTGCAAATATTTTAATTTGGGGCCATCTAGAAAAGTGCAACAAGAGCGTTTTTCCAAAAGAACAGCAAGCAGATTTGTGATCTGCTTTATTTTTATTAATTTGTAGCTGTATAATTTTGGAACAATCTATGAAGCTCTTAAAATTGAGAAGCCAGTTTTTGGAATTTCAAACAAACTGTTCTCACTCTTTCCCTTGCCCCACTGAAAAATACTGAAAAGAAAGAATGCTAAGAGGAAAGGAGCGAGGAGCAGAGGTAAGGAAAGAGGAAGAGAGTAGAGAGTAACAGAGAGTGGGGAAAGAAATTTAGACACATCTAATTTTAAAACTTTGGTACCAACAATATGTCAGCAAGAATAGAATGACAAGAAACTGCAATCTTATATCAAGTTCCTAAGTTCTATCCTATTCCACAGTACATGTCATTGTTTTTATTACACATTAGTTTGATCTTCCTACTGGCTTTGAAGAGGAGTGGTGAGGAACAGTCTTGGGTACTCAGGACATTCACAAAAGTTTTCCACTTCACACCTGTAAAGGTGATAATTTTGTCTAAATATGTGTTTCAAGTATGATTTTTTATACTACAGTTGATTAACTCATTTTCGATCAACGGTTTTAGCCCTAAATGATGTTGTAAATCAGCATACAAATGAGGACCTTAATTTATATGGGATATATTTACTTTTCTATGGGTTAATTGAAGTATTAACACTATAATCTTATTTAGATATAAACATTTTGCAATATCTACTTAGAAATGTATTTGTATGACATTATACAATATATGTAATAGAACAAGCACAAAGAGTAAATTTAGTTTGCATCCAAATTTTAATTAATGCCTGAAACATTACATATAGTTGTTCTCCAAAATTCTATGGAGAAAATTTTCAGGATTCCTTAATCCACTCATATAGTACTGAGTTCCCCATTCTAATTATTTACTAAGGGACAACCTGAAATACCAAAAATCAAGTCCTGAAAAAACACAAAACTTGTCTTCTATTATATATGTTAATGTATTGGCAGAAAACCATGTTTAAGAAGAAAATCATTTATTCTTAACTCTATACAGTTTCACAATTCTGACATGTTAAAATTTGTCATGTTTATTAGAGTTAGGGTGAGTTTACTTTTACTGTCTTAATACAGTTGGGGAAATATAATTCAAACATTAGAAGTAATCTTTTTCACAAATCATATAACTGGTATTTTTCAGATTAAAAAAAATGGCCACCTTAGGAAGAATAAAGATGTAAATGAACCACCAAAAGGAAGGATATGTGACAAGATTATGGGAAATAGTGCTGATTTGAAAATAATCTTACTTTATAAATCTTTGAAAAATGCATCACATTTTCTTTGGAAGCTAATTATATTGTCTGGAAAAAATCTTTCATTTCTTGCAATTCTCTCTCTTACTTTTTTGAGCATGAATTAAGAAAGCTTAATTACGTGGGGAATTCCACTTTGCATTAATAGTTTATAATTTATATAACACTGTCATATCTACATATAATAATGTTGAAGAAGTGATTTTTGACATTTTAACAGAAGAAAAAACAACCTCACTGTGAAAAGTTATTAATAACAATCCCAATTATGAAGTCAAATGTTAGTGTTTATTTTTCTTTCGTAATTCTGGAATATGGAAGAGGTAGATGAAGAGTTAAGAGATACATTTTTTTTTTCATAATAGTATCATGGCATTATCAAACTTGTTCATTTCCTCTTTGTAAAAAAAAAAAAATGGAAGGGAAAATGTTACAAAGGATGTGAATAATGGGCTGGACTTGGTCAAGGTAGTATTATTTTTTTTCCCCTAAATTCCTCAGGGAAACTATTACCACCTATTCAATCTGAATCTAAGCAGTTACTGTCAATTTACTCCTGGGTGGATGCTGCCTCTTTGTGGCAGAATGCCATGGAAAGTGCTCCTCAAACATAAAGTTCATGAACAGCCCTTGATATTGTACACATTCCAAATGAGATAATGGAGAGACCCACCAATGAAGCACATGGCTCTTTAAGTTTCATATTACTTCAAACAAACATTTTATACCCTAAAATATTAGTCTATGGTTTAATGCACTGGCAAATCTTACCTAGAAGTGAAGAGTTTATACCCACCAACATTCTGAACATTTAGGGTATGGATCAAGTATAAAGTAGCCGTCATAAAATGATTGAAGGTAGTTTTGCACAAAATATGGTAACAGTGGAAAACTGTAGACGGACTAATACAGACATGACAAAAATATATTATAGTGAGAGAAAAATGAATATGCAATATATTACTTACCATGCTCCATGTTTTAGATGAATACTTCAGTAAGGAAACAAAATATACAGTTGAAATATCATTAATAAACACATTAAGTGATATACTTAGGAATGCATACTTTCCTGAATCATGAAAAACATAAATTATATGTATTTTTCAATATTTATAATTAGGGAAAAAAACTTTTCTATTAGGAATAAAGCTTATATACTGTTTCCTAAATTGTTAATATCGGAGATTCAATCACATGTAGCTAAATTTTGGTACCTCAAGTAATCATTACTTCAATCCCTCAGATTTGACATAGTTATCAAGTGTTTATTCAGAAACTATTTAAAAAATTACATGTGCTGGGATACATATGAGACTGTAACGACAGTAGCCCCCTCTTACAGAAATCCTGTTTGTGGTTCTCATCATTGCTTGCTGCCCAAAGGGATAAAGACATTGTTATAGAGATTTGTACAGTCCGTCATTTGGTCTTCCGAGGTGCCAGTACACTTGGATCTGTACAAATGCGACTGGGTTTGGTTAAACAATCAAAAATCGGCTACAATAGTAGTCAAATCAATACATACTTTTGGTTGACTAATAAAAATACTTTTAAATCTTCTCTAAGAAAACCAAACACTTGTTCCTGATTCTCACTCAAATGACTCAGTTGCCCTAAAATACATTCTTTTATACATTGGAACTTAATCCATTAAGAAAAAAAATTACAGATCCAATTGGGTGGGCTGCATTTGGCTTAAAGTTTTGCTAAAATTTCTCCACATTTTTAATGATTTAAAATGCCTTCCTGATATCATTTTTTGGAAACACAGTTCCTAATATAGTGTGACACCCCTGTGAAAATTATAGACTAAATAGTGGAGGAAAGAGGAATGCTAAATGTGCATATAAAAATAGGTGCTACAATAAAATATTTGTATATTTCATCAATAAGTTATTTTGACTAATCAATTATGGATCATATAGCTCTGTAATTTTAATGATTTGTCCACATCTATGGTGATCCTTTCAAGATCACAACACTTTTGTTAATTCAAATGTCCAGAATGCATACAAACACATCCTTTAAAAAGAAAGGGAAGAAATGGGGATGGGGGGGAGAAAACAAACTTTTCTGTTCAAGTTTGGGTGTGCTAATCTCTCCAAAGAAGCCATTTAGACCCACCCATGGCTTAAAGGGGGAGAGGGGAGGGGCAAAGGGAGCAAAAGAGCAAGAGGAGAATCTATGGGCTGCCATCTCCCACTATTCTTAGCACTTCCAAACACTACAAAAATGATTGGGACCTTTAACAAGTCACCCGCGCAGCAAATTGCCCTCCATAACGCCCTTCTCTCTTTCTCCCCGACACGCAAGTAGAGAAAGCGATGTGCCCAGTTTACACAAATGTTTACCACGTGTAAAATTAAAAGGAAATTGCACACCCTTTCAGTATCTTCCGCCGAAGCTGAGAATCCCGTGCCAAGGCACTTCACCCTAAACGCTGAAACAACACAATTAATCAAATGTGTTCACCGTGTGTGTCTGCTTGCTTGTTTGTTCGAAATGCAAAAGCTCCAAAGGAGTTCCTCTGGTTTTAGAACTGGCTAAATGTGGTCTGTTTTTCCAGCACTTCGAGGTAGTCCGGCTCAACGTTTAGTTTTGCTTTTAACTCCAGATACTCGTTCCGGTTGGGTTCTACAAAGACAGCACTGGGGGGACTGTAGAGCACCGGTTCCCGCAGCCTGCTGTCCCCAGCCCCCGGGTGCAAATACTGATGGGGGCGCCTCAAGTCATAGTTGGGGGAGAAAGTGTAAGCAGCTGGGCTGCACGGGAATTTGGGATATTCCGGGAGGCTATTGCCGGCGGGGGTGGTGGAGCAGTGTTTGTCTGGTTCTAAAATGCCCCTGTAAAAGCGGTCGGCGTCCTGCACCGGCGACAGTAGGTCCTCCCGGGGTTCGATGGTGCTGACGCTGTAGGCGGGGCTCCGCAAGGGGTGGCTTTCCCGCCTCTCCTCCTCTCCCGGCTGCGGCTGCAGCTGCAGCTGCGGTGGGGGTTGCTGCTGGGGCTGCTGCGGCTGCTGTTGCTGCGGTGGCGGTTGCTGCTGCAGGTGGTGGTTGCTACTGTAGGTGACCTTGAGCTCCTGCAGGTCTTTGTAATCCTCCACAGAGTTGCCTTCTCGGGAGCGGTAGATGGGGTTTTTGCACATGTGGCCCAACGGATGGGGGATGTACTCGTACACGTGGCCCGCGGGTGTCTTCACCTTGGGCAGCGCGGGCCCCCGATGGTGCACGTGCGCGTGCGGGTGGCTGCCCGCGCCGCCGCTGCCGCTGTACACACTGTACTGCATGTTGAAGGAGCTCACGTCGGAGTTGTTGGTGCTGGTGTGGTCGCTCTGGTTCTTTTTCCTGCGCTTCATGACCAGCACGAATAGCCCGGCGGCCACAAAGACGGACATGATGAATACCAGCAGCAGGCTGAGGATCAACACGGACAGGGGCACCGACGACGCACCTCCGCCTGCGCCCAAGCCCGCAGGGCCCCCGGTGCTGTTTAACCGGACGGCGGTGGTCACCGCGCTGGTCTTCGAGGGGACCTGGATGGAGGAGGGCGTGGGCGTGGAAACCACGACATCCGAGTAGTCTGGACACAGCAGCTCCGACTTAATGGAGCGCATGTCGGTTTCGGCGAACTTTTTGGGCGACTTGCAGATCACCTCATCCACCAGGACTCCCACCTTGAGCTGCTCTACCCACAGCTTCATGCCCACCACGTCGCAGGTACAATCCCAAGGGTTGTCGTGCAAGTCGATTTGGATGAGCGACTTCAGCTGGTCCAGAATTCCACTTACTGGCAAGGAGGTGAAGTGGTTACTTCTCAGGTTCAGCCTGAGGAGGGTCAGGCCGGAGAAGACGCCTGAGGGCATGGCCTGCAGGAGGTTGTTATTTAGGAATAGCAGCTGGAGGTTCGGGACCGGGTCAAAAGTCCCAGACTGAATCTCGCGTATGAGATTGTACTGGAGGAAGAGATACTGCAGGCTCTGCAGACCGTAGAACAGCTCCGGGCTCAGCCTCTCGATCCTGTTGCCATTCAGGTACAGACGCCTCAAGTTGCTAAGATCACCAAAGGCGCGGTCCTGGATCATGGAGATGCGGTTGTTGCCCAGGTGCAAGAGGTCCAGCCCCGTGGCCTCCAGGAAGTCGGTCCTGCGCACTGCGGCGATGTAGTTCTCTGTCAGATACATTTTCTTGGGGTTGTAGGGCTTGGGCTGCAGCTCAGCGATGCTCTCGATCTTTCGCTCCTGGCAGTTGACGTTGAGGCCCAGATCAGAGATCTGCAGGTTGCAAGTGCACGCGGTGGGACACTCCAAAGGCACCGGGGATTTGGTCTGGTAGGCAATGCTGGGGCCATAATTGCTGTAGCCCAAGTCCTTGGAGGGCTGCCGAGAGGTGGGGCGCACCCTGGGCTTGTTGGGTTGGCGGGTTCCCTTAGGGGGCTTCAAGGGGGGTTTGTAAACAGCAGAGGAAGAAGTGGCCACGGAATTCACCGAAGCAGGGGTGGTGTGTAAATACCCCGTGGTGCTCAAAGGCGTCTGCGGCCTCATCTCATAGTCCGAAATGAGTTTCCTTGGGCAAAGTTCCTGTTTGGACACCTCGTCCAAGTCCCGGCCGTGTAAGCGGAAGGGGGTCTCGCAAACCACATCTCCCACTAAGGCCGAGTAAGAGATGCTGTCCAACCAATCTTTGAGAGAAATCAGCTCACAGGAGCAATTCCAGGGGTTTTCCTCTAACTGTAACTCCACAACTTTATCCATGTGCTGTAACAGCCCCACGTAGGGCAGAAGTTTAAGCCGGTTCCCCCGCAGGTCCAGGTGCGTTAAGGGCACAAAACGGAAAAGGTTGTTGGGTAAACTGGACAAGAGATTGTCATTGAGGATAAGCACCTGCAACAAATGTAGTTTCCCAAAAGCATTGGGTTCAATGACGCTGATGTAATTGTAATCGACCTGTAGGTACTCCAGGTTCTCCAAACCAAGGAAAGTG